CGCGTGTACCTGTGCAACAAAGTCAAGCACACGGTAAACGGAGAGGCAGTCTCCTGCTTCGAGATTTGGCACAAACACTGGCAGAACGGTACCTTGTTGCCGCCATCAAAAGGGAAGGGAGGGATTTGCGAGCGGGCGACGGGTGCGAACGACAATGAAGCGGCAGCGGGAGTGGTGGTGACGGTGATAACCGACAAAGAAACGTCACCGCACGACGGTGACAATTTGAGCGGCTGTGTTTGCAGCCAGCACTCACTGGAACTAACTATAGGTCGCATTTACCGTTCAGATTGTTGTAGTTGAAGTCTATATTTCAGAAAAATTGTAACGACTCTGACACGTGGTGGTCTTTCTTTGTGTATTTTAATACACGAAAATGGATTAGCCTGTATCACTGTCCCATGTCATATTGGGTGATTCAGGATAGTATATTTTAGCATGTCGGGTTGAGTTGTGCCTATCCAATGTTCAGGATAAAAAATAATCTACCTTAACTATCGTAACCCTTCCCCGACATACAAGTTAACGGAGCTAGGGTTTAGGGAGATGACCGCAAACTAAAACCCTCGCTTTCAAGGGTTAACTACGAAAAAGCGTTTTTTTCTTTTTCTGTCCCTAACTCAAAAACTACGAGTGCTTCATGGCCCTCAATACCACCAATATTCTTAGAATATTGTAATCGATATGAACTCAGCGCTGCTAAAAACACATTCATCATAATGAGAGTTGCAAATCATAGTTGACATCCGAAAACTGTCGATTTTTCGCCTTATCGTAAAGGAAAACCCATGTAAACAAAGACTTATCGCGAGTAGAAACGCGACGAACATTGTCATAATCCAGAAATTTATACTACTACTTCATGAGCAGTAACCCACGAAAAACCCATGACGGAGCAAGTTTTTCAACTTCCAATTGGTGACTGTGAGGTTACTTTTCAGTTTTTATAAATATCAAATGCAAACAAAAGCCACACTTGACACTCTGACTTGGCGAAAAAAATCTGGTGATGTTGAAAAAAAAAAACATTTTTCAGCCTATGTGATGCCCCTA